GGGGGGGGTTGTTTTGCTTTTTTAAAGGCCTGTGATTCCCTTGAACTGATGTGGTGGGGACTTCTTTGGAAGAGGTTATGCCCTATTCATTAACTCTGAGAGGAGACCATTTCACACTTTTTGCTGCTGTTTCTATTTCTAGCTGGCTTCCTGCAGATAGCTTTCTGCAAGACCGCCTTGCTGTAGCAAAACTATATTGATTTACACAGCAAAGTCTCTTTGTGCCAGGCAAGGCTGGGGAAAGTAATCTTTTCATCAGAAGATTGTTGTTACCTCCTCCCCCACCCCACACTTTTTTTTTATCTCTCTAGCTAAAAACTGAGCTCTTTGGTTTCCATGACGTTGCACATACAAACTCCCAAATTTACTTGAAAAATAGAGGATGTAAATCAACAGAGCTCCAAAAAAACTAGCCAAGTTGCATTGATTTACATTAATTGAAGACTTGGCCCTTCCTTTATAATGGGTTACATTACTATAAAATGCAGAAGTGGCCAGCTGCCTAATTTAGTTTTTATTCAGGCAAAAAGCCCTATCTTCTGGGAATTTATCTATGTTTCTGTTCTGTGCGGTTTTGTCATTCTCGTGATTAGAGTCAAGGTAACATAGACCTGGTTTTCTATTATCGTCCTCTGCACATGAGATATGTAGTAGCAGCTTATGCTAATGGATGATACTGGTAATTCAGTGATATACAGCACAGGCAATTCAACACTGCATTCAGCTAGGGCTGCACCTGGGGCCTTGGTCTAGATCCTTAGCCAGTGCAAATCAGCATCGCAGCACCAAAGTTCAAGGTTCTACGTTGGTTTTATTTCAGCAAGAGATCTGGACTTGAGAACAAATCTGAGAGAAGAGAGTCAGAGGGAGACAAAAATAATGATAGAGCACAGTTGATAATAAGCCTATTCCTTTCCCTTTTCAAGATGTGCCATGGGGATTTTTAATTTCCGTGCACACAGGGACAGAAGGGACTTTCGTTTTCTGTCTTATCCAAAGGATAAGCTTCAGCCTTGATGCAGGAAAAGGATTAGAGCTTGCAATAAATAAGCAATTCTATAAGCCAGCAAGGGCATTGAGCAGAAGGTATGATCATTCCAGGCCTAATTCACTCACGTAAGTCATGGGGACCAGTGATGAAGTCGCTGGAGTTACACCAGTGGGGGGAAAAAAGGTGCATGTAAAAGCAGAATCAGATTCTCTGCCTGAAATCTAAGCCCATGCACATTTACAGTGTGATTGCCATCAATCAACTGTGTTAGCACAAAGCCTTCATAGTTGCCAAACGCTTTGTGCAAAATATAACAATACAATGTTTTAGCTGAGAAAGACCAGATCCTCATCTTCTGTAAAGTAGCATAGCTCTGTGTCAGTCTCAGGGTTTTAACATACGGCACGTTTGCAGCAGGGTACTTGCGTGGTCTTTGTACTCTCATATAATTATACCAGAATCTGAAGCAGACAGACATGCAGCTATACCAGGGTAGCTATTCTTAGTAGATATGCTGTAGGCTTTAACAACACATTGTTGGTATGTGTGGGGGAGCAAGTAATAGACTGCTTGCCATGAGCAAACAGCGATCCCAGGGAAAACTGTGGATACAAGGCATGTACACTGGTATGACTGACACTGGTGCTTTTTATTCCCCAGTTTGAGTGAGTGACACTGGTATAGGGATGTACATTGTATGTCTGCCCCTTGGAAAGATAGTCTGCATTAATGTAAATGTATTGTATGGTCCGGCCCTCATCTGCACTGATTTGCTTCAGCTAAGGACCTGACCCGAACAGTTTAATGCAAAAAAGAAAATAGAAGCACAGAATAACCATTTGTAGGGCCATATCCAAAAACCCTCACTTAAGCTTGGTGGCCTTTCCCCTCTACAAAGAACTACAGGTACATGTGCTACTTTTCAGTCCTACTTCATGTCCTGTTTGGAGGATCCGTGTGACACGCTGGTCTTGTTCCACCCCTCTGCACAAATATCACTCGTGAACCCTATTTATGCAGCCCATGCTTAGCCAAGGAAAAGCAAACGGTACAAAATTGAAATCAGCAGGTCAGATCCTAGACATTGACCTCAGCTAATAATGTTTGATGTAAACTGGAGATCAGAGGTCTCTTTAGCCTTGGCTGGTGGATGCTATACAGGAAGTCTTACATTCCTGATGCTTTTCTGAAAGGGGCAAAGGGGTCAAGAGTGTATTTTCATTGTGGCAGAAGAGATCTGGAAATCTGAGAATTGATTCAGGGATGCCATCTCTGACAACAGTCTACCTTGATACCACTCCGTAATGTTTTACATAAACATATGGAGCATGATCGCTTTGAAGTAGGGTTTGATTTGTCTTTCTCGATGTCTCTAATGCATTAATTCAAATGCTGTACTAGTAGAAAAGCATTCGTATATAATGCTGCATGACGTTGCTCTAATTAATCCCTTTCTTCAGAAAGCGAACGCTTTCCTGCTCATTTGTATTCATTGTTTTGAGGTTTAACTTGAAAAATGTATATTATACAACAGACTGAAATACATGGGGAATAAAATAAAAGAACGCAATGGGATAATAAGCATCATAGCACTGTTGTGACATCTCATGCTGTTAACATCAGAGTTGCCAAGATGCCACGGCTATGCCAAACAAGAAGACAAGCTTGTACCACTGAGTTATATTTTATAAAGTGTGGCATAGCCTGCACTCTCCATTTAAGAGCGAATAAAAGGTAACCCTCCTTTATGGATAAAAGCCTATTTGAGCTGGGACAGTACTTGTGATAAGCCCACTGCCATGTCTGTCCTTTGCTGGGCTTACTGTATTATCATTATCCTGCAGTAAAAACCGTGAACTCCCTTCCATACACAAGCAACTTTGCAAGTGCCATCGGTTTTTTATGGGGCCACACAAAGCAAGACAGTTGAAGTCAGGCATTTGTTAAAGCTGTACGCATTAAATTCAATCAACAGCAAAATTCCTGCTGAATTCAATTGGTGCTAAAGGAAGTCAAAATAATGACACTTAAACTTTCTACCATCCTCTGATGCATTGCCATCTCTTGGGGCGTGGCCTGGCATCTTCCTGTTACTTGTGATCTTTTAGGATGTATAACGGCTTAACGGCATTGAAATCTTTGGGAGTTTTGCTCGGGTAATACCTGCAGATTGTGTCCCTTTGAATTTCTACCCCACTGAATCTTTCTCCGTTGATATAAAAATGAAGGGAAAATTTGCTATTCTATGATTCGCCTTTTGAAATGCATTGCAAAGGGTCAATTCAGTGTTAACACCAGTCTAAGGCAAAGGAATGAGTCATCATATGAGTCAAGATACCTTATTAGTGCCTACTTTTTCACTCGCTATTCAAAAGTGGCCTTTGCAGGTTGACGGGAGTCTGCCCATGTATAGATTTTCCCCCTCTCTTAATGAGCTCTTGATTCTTTTCCCCCCATTTCCTCATTTCTTATACTTCCATTCCATTGAATTAGGATTCCCAAAGGAGCTTAAGGAAGTAGGTCTCCAAATCCCACTAGATTTCAGTGGGACCTGCCCTCCTGACTCAGAGCACGTCCAGACAAGCACACGTGTGTTTCCCTGGGGACAAATAGCAGCGGCACATAGTTGCACCACTGCTACTGGTCCTGGGGAAAGCTCATACACGTGCACTCTGGCACTCGGCAAGTTGCTCTGAGTGGGGTAAGGAAAACTGGGGCCAGCACCCAGGCTGGCCTCAGCAGCCTTACCTGGGGTCCTGGGGGCTTCCCAGGGCTCCAGAGAAAGTGATGCAGGTGCGCGGAACCTGGCCTGCAGGTGGAGCACGGCTTCAGCCAGCCTGTCTTTGGTTTTGGGCAGCACGTGCTACTCCACTTTTTTCCATCGCTGTTTTTTTTGATACTGGGATCTCCTGATGTCAAGAAAAACCCACCCTGCTGTAAACTAGGAGCGTGGGGAAAGCCTACGTACTCATGCTCATCTGGATGCGCCCTCTGTTTCCATTTGAAAATCCAAGTACTAGCTCTTTTTTCTCTTTCTCTTTCCCCACATGCCTTCTCAGCTTTCTCCTTAACCCCTCTTTGCTTATGCAGAGGTACCTGTCCTGGAAAAGGTATGAAACCTTTAGGTATCTCTTATTAATTCTAAAAGTAGAGGAAGGAGAGAGGCTTTTACATTTACCATCAACTTGGGGGGGGGAAAAACTACAGAAATGCATGGAGATGAGTGGGGAGAGAGTGTTTGAAGCCAACACAGCAAGAGAGACTAATATGGTTTGGAGACATTGGGGGGAAAAATGCTATTTATTAAAAATATTTTAAAGCTAATAAACAGTCCTCTGAACTCCTTTAATCTCCTGTCCTTTTAGTTCATCTTTCATCTTTTCAGTACATCTCTTGACATACTCTGAAGCATTTTCTGAACAGAAAAGCTTCTGCGTAATTCAAACACAAGATCCCAATTGGGGGAAAAAATGTTATTTCTCCTCTACAGATGTCAGGTGCAGTTTAACTATAGACTTGATATACAGGGCAAGTCAGGCAGCAGTATGTTCTAGCAGGAAATCAAGCTTCTCTCATTTCAGGTATTAAAGATATGAACTACAGAGAGGTTGGGGGAAAGCTGTGGTTAAAGAGAGGCCTTTTTTCCTGCTTTGTATTTTATTTCTGCTGTCTGTAAGGTTCAACTGGTTTAGGCATCTCCACACAATTTCTGGTTTGCCAATTAAGTATATTAACTCAATGGTAGGGCTGAGTCATAACAGAGGTCTGAGTCATAACATTTAGCTCCACGTTTTAATTCTCTCAAAGACTGGGCTGCTGAGTTCCAGGTTTCTTATCCAGACCCATCTCCAGACAAAATGCCTTCGGTTCAACCTGACATAGAAAGCTAGAAATCTGGATGATGTGATGACAAGTATATACCCAGGCAGAGTGCTGGACTGAGACCAAGAATTTCTTTTCCTGACTCTGCCTTTGGCCTGTTGCATGATGTTGGGTGAATCACTTCATTCTCTGTACCTCAATTTCCCCAGCTATAAAATGTGGGGCATGGATTGCCTAATGACATCCACAATGTAAGAGTTACTCATTTATTTCATAGATTAAATATAACTAAAACCAGATTCTAATAATTTAGCCACAGGAACACAGTAGATTCTACTGACAAATTGAGGGGCTTCTACTTGCAGAATATGATGTTGTTCTCACTTTTGGTATAAATCGGTAGCTCACTGGAGTAACTTTAGTGAATGCCACTTAAGTACCCAAGTGTGATCCTATTCCAGGGGCAGGCAACTATTTCGGGTGGAGGGCCTCTTAATGAGTTTTTAACTAGGGTACAGATCCTCAGCTGATATGAATCAGGGTAGCACTACTAAAGCCAAAGGAGGTCTGATTTAGGTGAGGATTTGGCAATCCATATTCTATGGGTCTTTAGTAAGCTGGAGAAAAAAGCAACTGAGAAATGTTGACTAGTTACGGCAACTATTTTGCAAACTTTGAGTCTGAATAGGACTTCAGTGCCTTGAAAAAAAATGTAGTCCCATCCTGAAAGAAGTACAGGTACTGCAAAGCAACACCTAGTGATCATCTACAACTATATCAGCCAGGCCACCTGGAGACCTTTAGCTGTATGGAGCTAAGTGATACTTTTATTTACACTTATTTTTAGTTAAGTGGTCTGATCACTTGAGAGAGAACTGGGCCAAGGCACAGAGAGCGAAATGCGTCCTCCTGCAAAAGAGATGTAAAACCTTTAGGGTTCCCACGGTTTGTATGAACTCTTATTCCAAAGTAGTTTGATCCCCTTTGATGCAGTGCATTTTAAAAGTGGATTAAAATGATTAGAAATATGGTACTCTTTTTCTAGAATAAAAGCATTCATGTAGGCAGTTAATGTGAGAGAACTATTTTGTGCCTTAATTAATTTCAAGTAGTCTGACAGAAGTCTGTAGTCTTCCAGATCCTACTTGAAATTCTCAGGCACACCCCTATCTGAACTAACTTCCTTTGGTAGACAAGTGCTTACCTGAACATCAGACTTGAAGCCTCAGACAGCAATAGTTGATTTCCTGGTGGATTTTCCTGGGTTTTATGCCTAAAACAACAAAATCCATGTTAACAATAAGCTCAAAGTGTAGGCCAGTAAGGTACAAATTTTAACAGGAGATGAACCACTGGAACAAAAGTCCAGGGAAGTAGTAGCTTCCCCATCTCTTGAAGCCTTCAAAAGTATATTAAGTATATTAACCCCATAGTTGAGCTTTTTATGTAAAAATAGTGGTCTGAGTCACAGGATTCACCTAGCTCTCTGTCTAGAAGGCATGCTTGATTCAAACACAAATTATTGGGCTTGCTAAAAGAATAAACAGGTATGACCCATGTTATGCAGGAAACTGAACTAATCCTTTGTCCTCGCCATCTCTAAAAACTATTTAATCTAACTTTATGTATGTCCTTTAAGTGTGGACACCATTGGGACTTTAGCTTATGTAGTTCTTTGAAGCCTACATTTGGAAAATGGTAAATATAATTCATAGTTATCTGTCAGAGGAAAGCTTCTGGTAATCCACGATGTAAACATCTTGCAGTAAACTCATTCCCGTGTTGCCTTCACTAGGATTATGCAATCCTATATTTAGTGCCTTCAGGAGCGGTGGCCATGATGGCTCTTGCCATGTAGGTGTGCCTATAAAAACTATTAAAATTCAAATGACTCTGCTAAATAAGCAGCCCTGTCAGACAGATTATTTATTACTATTTATGATGACAGATTTATCTTTCTTATTTCTCCAACACATTTCTCCAGAGGAAATTAGATACAGTACTTAGTTTAAGCTGTGCCAAGGAGAAAATGTTTCTATAAATACTTAACAACTTGTCTGGAGAGATTACAAATATTGGTCCGTCCTTCACAATGTCACGTTGGTCATTGAAGCTGGGTTGAAATGTCGGTCATTTATTTTTCTCATGGAAAAAGGTAACTCAGTGGTTTAAATGGAGGGGAAAAGAATAAGCAAAATGTACATATAAATCATTCTTATAACCAAAATGTAATTGTTCAAACAGAAACATTTGGGAACAAATTGTCAGCCAACTTTTAAGAAAAACTTGTTATTTCCATGCTCAGTTTGCAGTGCCAAATCGACTGTACCAGCCAAAGTGTCTGTGCAGCCAATTAACTTGTGAAGGCAACCATTTGCGCACAGAAATCAGGCAGCTGGTCACCTGACTATATCATTTCAGTTTGCCAGGGCAGGATTTTTGGCATTTAAAATTGGGGTATGCTTGCTTTCATCGGGTACACCAGGTGGCATGTTCAAGAAAGATGCAAACGTTTGGAGGCCAGGGCAGGCAATTTAGTCCTCAATATTAAATGTATAGTGATTGATATGACTTTGGCTATGTGAGAGACCCATAAGTGGGAGCCATTTGTTCTCTAGAATATTTAACAGACGGGGGTTGTTAGTCAGTTAGAGCCCAATTCAAGCCTGAGAAACGTGCCGGCATGAAGCCTAAGAACTTTTAAAGTCTATTTATGGTTCCTCTTGAAGGCTTAACGGGACTTACCTGGTGCATTGACTTTGTGCTGACCCCCTGCCCGAGGTCACTTTCCCCTTCATGCATATGGAATTCCACTTTCCTCTTCATAGTTTATTAGTAACTCCTCAAGTGTTGTTATAAGTTGCATGTCTCCATAGACAGACAAGGTTCTTTGGGTAAATCTCATCTCTTTTATTAGACCAACTCAGATAGTAGGAAAAATTCTTCTTTGCAAGCTTTTGGGTACAAATGGCCTTTGTCAGGCTGAGGAAGCATCCACACTTGGTGTGTGTATGGAACAACCAGTAAAGAAGCCAGAGGCTGGTGTGCGTGCAAGAAAGCCAGTCTCCATAGACTCACTTATAGACTGGTTACTGCCTAGCACTCTTGGAGGTTAATATCCTTCTGTTGATTTCCACTCATGCTGGGTAGGATGCCTCGGGTCATAATTCAGCCCACCTCTATTGGAGTCAATGAGAAAAATCCTGACCCCACTGAAAGCAGTGAGGAATTTAACACTGTGGCCAGTATTTTACCCATGGTACTATGCTGTTGAGACTTATGCTGCTCCTTGCAGCTGTGTTTTGCCATTTTAATAGCCATCACTTTGGAAATATACACAGTTCTTCCCCTAAACTGAATTTCAGCAAAGGTTCATGAAGCCGGTGAGTCTGCAGATTGGACTGGGAATCTTATGAGCATCAGCACTCTCAGGATAGGTCCTATGCTTCCTACTCAAAACCAAATCCAAAATACTATAAGCAACAAATTTCTCTTAATACATCAATACCTTTCCAGCCAGGACTTAGCAACATAAAGGTATGTGGCCATGATAAAAATTTCTATTACATTCTGTGGAAGTTTTCCATAAGGAATGGCATATGGCATAGTGTGAAATACTTCATCAAGTGACAAGGAAGTTGTTTAAGTTTCTACTTTTCCTAGTTATAAAACCAGCTCTAGTTGGCAGCAAGTCTGAGGAACTGAAACAGGTGGTAAAGTAATAAAAGCCCTCCTACAAGGAAGCTGCCCACACTGGGAGAAATATCTGAAAATTGCATCCTGATTTGTTTGGAATAATTTAAGGGAATTCGTAATGGGCAAATCAAATGGGGATAAAACCCACACTTTCCTAAACAAGCACAAGAAATGCATATGTCCCTCAATATTCATATATATTCAATTGACTCTCCAGTTCCTGAACTGATAGAATTTCACGCACAAAAATGACCCACGAGTCCAAACAACTTATTTAAAAACACTTCTGCAAACTCGAAAATGATTCCTGATTCCTAGGCAATGTCCATTTCTGCCTGTTGAAATAGCAAGTTCTGTTACACATGTTCACATTACAGTAACAGAGGCAGTACTGTCCCTGGGTAGGGTATTAGATGGGGAGTCCAGTAATATTTGTTATAGAATAATAGAAAAATAGGTTTGGAAGGGACCCCAGGAGTTCACATGTAGTCCAACCCCCTGCTCAAAGCAGGACCAGCCCCAGTTAGATCATCCCAGCCAAAGCTTGGTCAAGCTAGGCCTTAAAAACCTCCAGTGATGGAGATTCCACCCCCTCTCTGTGTAACTTGTTCCAGTGCTTTCCTGCCCTCCTAGTGAGAGAGTTTTTCCTAAAATTTAACTTAAACTTCCCTTGCTGCAATTTGAGCCCATTGCTCCTTGTTCTGTCACCTGCCACCACTGAGAGCAGTCCAGCTCCGTCCTCTTTGTAACCACCTTTCAGGTACTTGAAGGATCCATTGGTGACCTGCAAGCTATTGGATGCCTGTCTCTGCATCTATGTCCCTGTACATAAAAAAGTGTAATGACAGTGTGGTCTCTTTTGTGAAACATGTTGGGATCTACAGAAAGCAAGAGCTAAGAATTACTCTTATGATAGAAGGGGGCAGCTGCATGGGGAAAGTAGCAGCTTGAATAAGGACTGGGAACTCAAGGGCAGACAACGGACATCATTTCAGTCAAAGATGCCCTCACGTTCAGTTTACAGGATAAAGAGACTTTTTAAAGGAGCTTCAGTGTGTCTTCCCACAACCGTAGCTGCAAGCGTGTTTGCTGTGTGACTCTGGTGCACAGATTCCATTGCTTGTGGATGTGGGTCCATTCGTATCATACATCATAACTGCATCTGCAGTTCTTTGCCCCCATAAAATTGCATGCACGTTTATGCTACGGGTACAGCACACGATGACCTGTTTAAACCAACAAACCTCAGAGAGTGAAACTGTCCTCTGCAGGGGCAGCACAATCTGAGTGGGCCGCATGAGCTATATTTTAAAGATTTTGCATCTGCATGTCTTTCACAGATCCACTGGTGAGTTTGGGCCTGTAGCAAGGAGCCAGGGACTCCTGCTACAATGAGAGGGCAGGCTGGGCAGGAGGGCAGCTGCATGGAGAAAGTAGCAGCCTGAATAAGGACTGGGAACTCAAGGGCAGCTTTTTAACGGACTTAAAAAGCTGAAAGGCCAGCATCTGCAGGCAGTGACTCGCCAAATGCAGGTGATAGGGAAAGGGCCAGATAAAGGTATGGTGGAGAGAATGGAGAAGGGGGGGAGCAGGAGCGGCATCTGATGAGTGAAACGGTCTCTGGAGGAGATGCTGGGAGAAAGCATAGCCACTCCAGGAGGGAGAGACTGAATCCCAGGGAACCAAGGCAAGAGCCCTCTCCCCCGGGAGCAGTGTGGTGTGAGAACCAGGTGGTGAGCCGCCCGATGGAAAAGACAATTACTCAGAGGGGAGGACTTGGCTGGCTTGAACTAGCCACTCAGTGTTAGTGCCTTCTCCGAGCAGGTAGCTCATCCTAAAGGGAGAGTATGCCATTTCAGAAGACTGTTAAATAACCCGGAGAGGGTCTTGTTTAGTTAAGGCATCAGCCTGCCTTTCAGTTCTGTGTTTAAACTGGTGGACCATGGTGGACTGATAGGGGAGTTAGGAGGTCCCAGAGGCCTGAGAGGCTTAATCCTGCTGGGAGCAGGGAACAAGCCGCAGTGTTGCCCAAACAGGGCAGGAAAAAGGGCCAGTGAGATTAGTGAGCTACAGGGAGTGCAGCAGGGGCTGGAGCCCCTCTGAAACCAGGTCTGCTACCATCGGGTCTAGGTGGAGAGGCCTAGCTAGAGGAAAGAGGTGGACACTAATCGGGCTGAAGCCCCAACAAGGGCACAGGGGCGAAAGGGAGCCTAGCACCAGACTGGGGCTGAGATCCCAAGAAGACGACTTGTTGTTTAACACCTGCGAGGCATGGGCATGGCTGAAGGGGAGGTTGGAGGCCATGTTGGGCTACATCTACCTGTAGCCATCTACAGGTGCCTAGATGGAGACGACAGACATACTTTAAGACTCCTAGGGCTAGGGCCAACTGGAAAATAGAGGTCAAAGGGTGATTTAAATGAGCCCTGGAGTCCTGGATCATCTCTCAACAGCTAATTACTCCCAAGACTCATAAAAGGCACAGCAGGCGAAGGAGAGAGGCAGACCCAGGAGCTGGTTAAGCAGGAAAAATCAGGGTGCTAGTAAGCATCGTGGCCTTGCCCTGCTACAGGGCCATTATGCAGAAACTTAAACCAAAGTAAAGAGAAGGACTGCACTTACTTATGGGCACGTGTTTGTTGCTGCTCTTGCTTACAGGCTTTTGAAATCTCAAGGTCCGATGTTGCTTTTTACCGACTTCCAGTAAACGCACTGACAGCTGGCAGCTCGCGCAGCTGGTCAAATGTCTCATGTAGACGCACAAACCCATACAATGCTTGCAGTGTTGACTGTATCATTAGCTGTAGCCGGCTTCAAAATAAATCCTATAACTCTGGCTAAACAAATACATTAGAGCTTCTCGTAGCAGAAACTAAGCCCTGCTCTGCCTAGAATCCTGTTCCCTTTGTAGCCCTTCTGACATGTCAGTTTATTTTTAGCCATAATTAAAATTTTAACATACCATGTCATAGAACCCATTTTAGTAACTAATGTGCCAGCACTATTTTATTAAATAGACTATAAAAACTTTTTAATTTTTAGTATTTGGAGTGTTCAAGGAGAAAGCAACCCTAACACTGACGCTTGATGACAGTTAGTCAATGAAGGAAGAAAAAAAAACAGCGGTGGTTCTGTCTATCTCCCAGCTCTCTCCCTAGCAGTAAATTA